TCTGAAGAAAATATATATGGTCAAAGTGATTCACCAGCTTGGTTTCCAAAGGATGGGAGGCCAGTATCTGTGCTGCCCCGTGATTTTAGAAGTAACTTCAACCTATTCTGAAAAGGTATCAAGGAGAGAAGAGTTTCCGAGGTAATGAAGTTCTTACAAGCTCTGTGAAAATCTGTGGCTGGGTAAGAGGTCCAAATAATGCCCCCGGGGTGGGAAGATGGGCAGAAAGATGCCCTGTCTCTTGCCTGGTGGAGACACTGTCAATCAACAATGGAACATGGAGAAAGACACTGGATCTACAGGAGGTGTAAGACTTTCATAGGAAACAGGTCTTCATTAGTTCCACTCTTCACAGCACTTGTTTTAAATAGACCTCTTTTCTCAGGATTTGCCAAAACCTAATTTTATAATTATGATTCGATTTCTACTGTGCCATCCTTTCTGCAACAAAAGTCCTTGGGAAGATTACATGTGACTCCCCCTTACCACCAGTTACCAAGATGTCAGAGGGAGCACGGGCACACCAACATCGGAATGCAGACTGCACCTCTCAGCTGCTCTGACGTGAAACACCAACCACCCGCTAAGCAAGGGTATTTTCATATTACATGTTATAAAAGCATGAAAGCGACCACAAATTTTTATGGTTTTGATCACCATCAGCACAGAAACACATCTCAAATAATTTCCTTATGCTTTGATATGCTTGATGCCATGTTAGTGACTGATGAACAAATACAAAAACCACAGAACTTGCCAATCCTCTTCTCTTATAAATGAATATGCAGTTTTGCTATTTTCCTGACACTTCAGAACAAGGTCCTTTTTAAATAACAATACTAAAATAAGTGTCATAAAAAGACATGTAACATATCTGTCACTACAGATCAATGGGATTTGTGATCATTTATTGCAGTCAACTGAAAAAGTAGTAAAGTTTTATAACAACTTTCTACGGTCCTTTACAAACATCTGCTACTATAAAGGGTAATTTTACTCTGATTTGACTATATAATAAACCTTGCATTTTAACTTAGTAAAATCAGCACTGAAATACATACTTTCCAAACAAGGCAACATATAGCAAACATTTTATAGAATCATAGAATAGAATCATAGAATCGCTTAGGTTGGAAAAGACCTTTAAGATCAAGTCCAACCATTAACCTAACACTACCAAGTCCACCACTAAACCAGTTAAGGGTAGAGTAATAATTAATTTCATGTTTCCTGGCTTGGTGGCTGGATTATTTTTTAATGAAAGTAAAACTAAAATAGAATCATTAAGGTTGGAAAGGATCTCTAAGATCATCAGTCCAACCGTCAACCCAACACCACCATGCCCACTAAACCATGTGCCAAAGTGCCACATCTACCTGTTTTTTGAACACCTCCAGGGATGGTGACTCCACCACCTCTCGGGGCAGCCTGTTCCCATGCTTGAACAGGCAGAATTTCTTTAACTGTGGAGTGCAACTTTATGTATTTTGTAATAAAGTAATTACAGAGCTATTCCTTCAAACAATTAAGGCTTCATAATTTTAATAATGTACCAAACGTATCTATGCAAACTAGCAGAAACAAGTTTACCTTTAAAAAAGAAAACCTACTGCAGAAATGCAACATACAGCTTTTCAGTAAAGAAAACAAAAGCATCCTCCAGTACTAAAAGAATTTGCTTACACAGGCAGAACAATTTTCCTTTGTCTCCCAAAAGAGAACAGAAAAGGGATGCAACCCCTGCTGCCTTACACTGTTATAACAACAAAAAGAGCTACAAAAATAGATTCAGTCAGCATTTATGATAAAAACATACCTATGGCTAATCTAATGGCTAATGCCACAAGTCATCGCTTTACCCTAATGCTGTGGGTAATCCCAGTGAATTGCTAATATTAATCATCTGGAAAGAGCAGGAAGACAGCACTGGAAAAGCGTTGAAGTGCTGCTTTCCTAACTGCAGACACTGCAAGAAAACAAACCAGAAATGATTGTGCATGCCCTACAATATCATTGGATCGGTTGTTGCATTCAAACCATGATTGGTTTTGACAGATGCCACAAGTGATTTTGCAGCACCACAGGATGTTATTTTGGACTTAATTATTACTGGAGCCCAGGACTCCTCTTTTTGGTAAATGCGATTGCCAGACCGCACAAAAAGGCCCCTGGCATTTGCTTTTTGGCTGTTATGTGTTATTTTGCCCAAACATTGAGTTTCTTATCTCTTATTGACACACTTCCTCACCAAATTAAGTAAATACTTGGTGATTACTGGCACTGGCCTGGGAGGTGGCAAAGAGGGCCTGAAGCTCCTCAAGACTTTAGTGATATCCTCCATTTCCTCAGTGCCTACTCCTTGACAGCTATTTCCATCAGTTAGCAAGAGCCTTTTTATTTTTTGAAAGCAAGCAAAATTCCTGCCTTTGTGTGGCACCCTGTCTTGTTGGTACAGACAGCGCTCTCAGAAGCAGCTTCCAAATCCAGGTGCTCCGTGGATGCGGGCAGGGAGTGCCTAGGACCCACCTGAGCTCCGGCAAAAACTCCGGCCTGTGACTCCAACCTCTGCAGTCACCACCCACACGAAAGCAGACACGCAGGGGCCTGGGCAGCACTCATGTCAGCCCCTGATCACAAAGCAGGGGGAGACTGAAGGTAACTAACTGAAACATAAAGAAAACCATGGAAGAGCGAGGCCGGTTCTTTGTATGCTAAACCAAAAAGGCACAATTCTGCAGCCAGGGAGGACTGTAGCTGCAGGCGATGCTGAAGGTAGCAATTAGAATTGAAAATCAGGAATTACCCTTTCCAGAGCATGTGCCAGCAAGGGTACAACCTGGTGAGAGAAGATAACGAACTCATGCAACAATCCATGTATAAGGAGAGTTAAGATTTAGAATTAAAAAATAAAGTAACTGCAGGAGTGTTGCTGCCTCTTCACTAATTAAGAGGTTAAGTCTATTAATAATGATGCATTAAAGGCAGAAGTTTCCAATTAGGATTTCTGCTTCCTATTTGAAAAGGTGGTGTATTGTGTGAAGAAGTATTTTCCAACCCACTAGCAACTGAAGCGGCAAAGCATTACTAGAAATAAGTATTTTAATAAACAGCGCATATAACCCACCATTTCTTTAGGCAACTGACAATTTCAATAGATTTGAAAATGTAACTTGCACTACAGAAGGGCAACTAAAATGAATCAGGTATAAATACAGACCAATTTTCCAATATCCAAACCATGCTGCAGAATTTAAATTTACAGAAGATTAAAGGTTCAAAATGTAATTACCACCAGTTAACATAATCTATGAAAAACAAGCTTTAGTAAACATTGTTTTGCTTTTTGGTGAGGTATTTGGTTGATAAACCTAACTGAACAGAGTTAGTACCTTTGTAGGGCATCGTTGCAGTGAGTCAGACATGTTAATGCACAAGTACCATGATACTATGTCAATAAAATATGCACTGGGTATACAAACTGGCAGGTTTCAATGAGGAGCTTCCCCGCTGGCTGCAAGTCGGGTGAGCTTTTTGGAGGTTGTACAGATTTGTGATAGGAGTAACACACCAATGCTCTAATAAAATCATGCAAAAGGCAAAGCTGGGCAAAGCCACGCATTCTTACACAGAGCCAGAGTAATGCAAAACAACAGAAATCATGAAGTAAAGCTGGCTTTCATTCAGGTACCACTTGCTTTGGCATAGCAAAAGGCAAAAATACCTATACAGGAAAAAGAAATGTACGCCATAAAATGGGAGACTGTCCTGGGCTCTCCAAGAAACTTTTATTCAGTTTTAATGCTCACTGTGGTGCTGTGGCAAAGGCAGCTAATAGGAATGGTGAATATATAAGCTGGAGCATGTAGACTAAAACAGAAGAGGCTGAAAAAGCAGCAAAACACCAGAAAGGAAACACCAAGGCATGAAGAAAACATTTACAGTTGAAGACTAGAGGAGATCCATTTGTTTAGGCTGTCAAAAAGAACTTGCACAGAAATAAACAGAGCATATGTTCACACATTTTAATAATGACAGCTTATTATTAATAAGTACCCACACAAGTGGTAGATTTACACTCCACGACAGTATTTACAACTAGGCAAATTCTTGAATACAGAACTGAGCTCAGTCTGACTGAAAGGTATTTACTGCGATGCCAGATAACTTAGTTTTAAGACCTGCAGTATTAGATCATCTAATGTAATTGGTCCCCTTTGACTGTAAGGTATCAGAAAGTAATGGTGTTTTTCCCCAAGCAGCGTTTAGCCAGTTTTCAGAAAGACATCTGTTTATCAAGGAAAAGATAATGCGAATAGCATGTAATAAGCCAGCTAAAGAACAGTATTCTAAAACTGCACATAGAGCACCCCTACACTACTTGCAGTCATGGGCTGACCCTCTCGGAATCAAGCCTCCATTTCTGTCATGCCATTTACAGCCCATCACTCTGAGATGCAGTAAAATGCCATTTCTGTCCCCTCTGCACAAACAGGAAAGAAACCCCAACCCACTCTAATGGAGACTGAGCGGGTGGCTCTTGACTAAGGGGGCTTTTAGCAATGAACCGCTGTGCTAAATGCGAACATCAGCTAAGTACTGATCTCCTCGGAGGTGGCTGTACTTTGGATGAACAGTACTGAGGTTCGTGAACTGCACAGCTCTTTCAGTACTTTTAAGACACTACATAAATGTTTAAATACATAAAGAAATCCAAGCCCTTATACATCTCAGTAGGATCCTGACTACCTATTTCACATCACTAAACTTGCATTTATACTTGCATAGTGTAAATAGCATTAAAGATCAGGTGTATATTGAGCAAATAACAGCTCCAAAAACTAAGCTGCAGCATGTTTATTGACATAATATCTCTCAGAAAATTCATCACAAGCATGACAGAAACAAGAAGCTTCACAACAAATCCAGGTGAGATTTGTCTGTACATTGTATTTTTCAACAACTAGAAATATGTTATTAGCAATACAGATACATTTTATACATTAAAAATCTATACAACGCCCTTTTCTCTCCCAATCTCCAAAACGTGTAGGTTCAGGGCCTTTAGGTCCACCCCTCTCTTTTGTAGCAGGATTGATTCCATCAGGGAATTCTAAAATGACAGGGAAAGTTCATTAAAACACCTATAATGTTGACAAATATAAAGATGTCACCATCTACGATGTTTGCCTCTTAGTTTCATTTTCAAATACAAAATCAATTCTCTTTTGTTTTGAAAGGCAACCTTGAGTTAAACATTTCCTAGAGTCAAACAACAGTAGTTTCAGAGAGTTTTGTGACTACAGTCAGGAATATATTATCATATTCAGTTATGCAAACAAAAAAGCAATTCCATATCTGAAGGCACTAAAACGTCACAGTTTCTCACGGACTCATAGTGAGAACTTGCGTCACTCAGGTACACTGTACACGTGCTCACTACATCTAAAGCACCAGGTCACTTTCCGTGTTTGTTTAGGTCTCCAACTTTAAGCACTCAGCTTTTAATTTTAGCTTTAATTTTAGAATTTTAGCCAAGATTTTATAATTGCTCTTGTATTTAAAACACCATCTTCATAGATGCAGGTCTGTTTTTCAAAAAACAGCATGTTGGTGTTTCTCAGCACCAGACTAGATACCTCAGTCACAGGAGGTACTGTAAAATCCTAAATAGATAAATTAGGCTTTTTATCTTCTAAAACTTAACCGAAGCTCGCTAAGTCACTGTGATGCCCCTTCAGGAGAGGGAGACTCTTTGTAAGTGGGGTATGAATGGGACTTTCAGACGTCTCTGGTAAGTGACATGCTAGGCTTACACATCAGCAGTGCTGCTTCTACTCCCAGCACCCTACTAGCTTATGCCACCTACTCGAGCACCATAGAGCTTTCTGCACCTCACAGTCAACATCCTTATGCTACTCAGTGCTCCCTTACTCAGGGCCCTCTCTGAAGCGTGGTAACTCAGGCCACCCACGCTGCACAGTGGCCATCCCACTAGGCATTGCCAAGCCATGAAGTACTTTTCCGCACAGCACCACTGCTAGACTGCAGGGCTCCCTGAAGCTCACCATACCCCACACATCCCCTTGCCACGCTGATTCTCCAGAGCCTCCCATATATATGCATAACTTGGGGCTCCCTTGGTCGTATCCCTGACTCAGCCCTCATGAGCAAGACAAGAATGAGGAGCAGGGTTGAAAATGAGAAAAGAAAACAACTGAAATCCTGGAGAGCAGAGAAAACAGAGGACAGTGATGGAGGGAGACTCCTGTAGCTACAGCCTATACGGAATGACATATTGGGATGCCTGTTTAAAAATTCATACAGACCAGGATAGGAAGTGTCAGTATTTGAGCACCTCTGGCAGCACAAGGAGCGCAAATGCATCTAATATTATTTTGTAGATATCATCCCAATATCCAAGCAATACCAATGTGCTGACAGTGGATGCAGAAGCTCAGAAGACTTCTCCATGATAGCTACACAGCAGTGGGAATTCAAATAGCCAGCTTGAACTCTTACATTTTCTCCTAATAACCATCGAGGACACAAGGGGCAGTCGGCACTCTAACAAACTATTGCTGGCGTTATATGTAAAAAATATACAGGTACAACCAAATTTAAAGCCAACAGAAACCTTGAGTCTTGCTCTAAACATAGAACGCCCAAGCAAAAAGCAAAAGATAGTAATTACGCATTTGTTTTAAGTGAAGTGTTGATGGCACTTATTTTCTTGGGAATAAAAGGACAAGAATTAAATAGCTGCTTACACGATAACTCCAACTCTGAGTCAGTTCTGAAGTGAGTCACAAACTGAAATTGCTTCAGCCATTTCAGTGATGATACTATAATTTTTCGGTCATTTTGTCATCTGGATATTGATAGCAATCTATTGATATATTAAAAAAGCTTGTCCTAGAGAGCTCAAAATAGATAAACATGGGTTATCGCTACTGGTAAACAGCAGCAGAACATCACACTACAGCGAATAAGATAAAGCATGACTAGCACTTCTAGTTAAGGAAGACACCTAATTAAAAAGAAGGGAAAAAGAGGTTCTGTTTTTCTCCTGCCTGATTAAAAAGCGTGTGTTTCTAGTGACTTCAGCAGCAATGTATCTGTGCCTCAATTTTGTCCAGGTTCTCTAAACACGACCCCACTCAGGTTAGTGCAACACAACACAACACAAACAGCAGCTCATTAGCATCTCCCCGGACCCCTCTGAGTAGCTCAGTTAACTCAGTATCTGTTGCTTTTCGAAACACTACCTGCAAGACTAATAGAAAGACTGACCACAAAATACAGCATGTGGGTGTTGGTCTCTTCTCCCAAGTAACAAGCCATAGGACAAGAGGAAATGGCCTCAAGTTGCACCAGCAGAGGTTTAGATGGGATATTAAGAAAAATTTCTTCACTGAAAAGGGTTGTAAGCATTGGAAGAAGCTGCCCAGGGAAGTGGTTGAGTCCCCATCCCTGGAGGTGTTTAAAAGACGGGTAGATGTGGCACTTAGGGACATAGTTTAGTGGTGGACTTGGTAGTGTTAGGTTAACGGTTGGACTCGATGATCTTAAAGGTCTGTTCCAACCTAAATGATTCTATGAATCAGAAATCTTTTGTGGACTAAGAAATAAAACAGGCTTTTTGGATAATAAAAAGTAGCTGGTGCCCTCATCAGTTTACTACCACCATTTATAGCTGTACTGTAATAGACCAATACCAACTACGTCTCTCAGAATCATGGAACGGTTTACGGTGGAGGGCACTCTTAGGCAGACATCTGGCCCCAACACTGCTCAAAGCAAGGCTGATGTTAGGTCAGGACAGCCAGGCAAATCCAAGAGGAGAGGGATCGCAGATTCTCTGGGTGACTTCTTACAATGTTTGACCACACTTGTTTTGAAGACTTTTTCCCTCATACATCATTTGCTCCAACTTGTGCCCACTGCCCTGCCTCTGTTTTTTTCAGAACCATTAAGCTTAGCAAGTGATTCTGAAGAGTGCTGAATGCCTACCCCTCTTTTTAAACTGGCATCAGAACTGCATCTCAGAGTCTTGCCTTTAAAACATGGCTTTCAATTTTGTAAAATGTGACTTACTTTCCAGGGGTTCCCTCTCTATACTGGACTCCTCTGGTTCATCAAATCGACCTACTGGTAACTTCGGTTTCTTAAGTGACTGCTTAGCAGGTTCAGATCTTCCTCCTGTCTTAGAGCTGGTGCTCCTCAGAGAGCCGCAAAGCAGTGATGACTCTATCAAACAAACAGACGTGTAGCGTAAATGTGAGAGTTTAATACCAAGTAGTTCTATGAGTATTCAGAGCACCTCTGAAAAACCCTCACTTCAGAAACTAGGGAGTGAAAGGCAGGAAAACAAACTCCAAATATTAGTTTAACATTCAACTCACGAACACCTAAGAAATCAGCACAGATAATTATTTTTGGCCCTAGAAACATATGCCGGCAAAACTGTGTTAGTTGTGTAACTCAGTTCACATAAACAGTGTATTTTAAACTGCTTGAACTTATCGTCACTGTTATCTTCTTGTATTTTAGACTCTAAATAGTAATTATGATAGCATAGACCAGTACATTTTGTTTTCCTGGAAAAGTCCTAACCTCCCCCAGGAAGCCTGCTGATTTCCAAGCCTTGGCTCATTTCCAACAGCTTTTGAGTCAGAAAAAGCTTCTGCTTTCCCAAAGGAAAGTTTTAAAAAATAAAACGTTGTTCCCTTAGTAACAGGTTTTCCAGAATGCTGGTAGAGAATAGCTGGGCTTCCCTTATGATGGTAAAGTAATTCAGCTGGTAGTCAAAAGCAGGACAAACTTTGAGCACGTTTAAGTTCAATTATGTAACTGCATACAAATGCTTTAATTAAAAGCATTAACTTTTTTCCTTTAAAGTCCTACTAACTTTTTTTAAACATAAATGTAGGAGAAAGCCTATTAATATCCATACCTAAAGTTCTTTCAAGTAGTATAAAAATGGAGGTCCCCAGATATCATAAGTCATAAATAATTCAAGAGTCATAAACAAGTCAAAAACTACTTATGAAGATCTCTCAAAATGACTAATATTTCTGCATTTGGTTAAAAAGCCAAACATCCACAGTGAGCACAAACCACCCTCTAAGAATATTTTAGCTACGGACACGTGCCTAAAGCAGCTCTGACTTTTCTTAAGAAGGAAGATTCAAACAGAAATCCTCCCTGTACCAGACTGGGTGCAATGCACTTGAAAGAACTATTATTCTACCTTGCTGAAGAGACTGCATCAGGAAACCTTCTCAAGCAGTGTGGATTTAACTCGCCTATATATACACCAACCAACAATCCACCTGCATTCCCAGAATCAGCATATGCATTCATCCTAAAATACCACAACCTTAACATGAAACCCTACAGTCACATAAACTGTATTACGCCTGCCAACTGTTGCCAATGCCCCAAAGAAATAATTTTTTTTTTTTTTTTGCTTTAAGCATGATGTAATTGACTATCGACAGCAAAGAATCTAATCCTTCTGCATACATTGGATCTTTCTACTCCTGCCAAGCATCTTGTCCTTCTTCAGGAAGCTGAAAGAGAAGCTAGCTAGAAAATGAAATTAAAGCTGATATTCTAGTCCAAGTTCAGATGAAAGTCAGATTAAGGTACTGATAGGAAATTGATTATCTCAGCAGAGAAGAGGCAAAATCCATTTTCCTATTTGCAATACTTGATATTGTTGACCAAAATACATTCTTCTTGACACTGAGGTGACAGAAGTTCAACATTAAGTATCTCTGAAAAAGATGAGATGAACAATCAACTTTATCAGTAAACCACATTCTACAAACTGATCTTTGACTCCCTCATCCTCTGTGGGCAATCACAAAGCCATCCAATTTATTAATTATATAGCTAGATTTGAAAATAAGTTGAAAATTCCAAGTCTTTAAAGTTGCTGTACAGCCAACATCTGCAATAACTAGTCTTTTGCAGTAGCCCACAGACTGCGATTTATTATAACAAAGCCATTCATGCAGCGGGAGCTGGGCACTCATTGGGATGCTCGGGGGAGACAGGAGCATCAGCCAAATCTTGCCATGAACCTAACGGCAAATAGAGCCTAGGAGGGCTCACAAACATCTAACAACATTTTTTCCCCCCAGCTCTTCTATGCTGTATTGGTCTTCTTCAGGAATACTGCATCAACAGCATCACAGAAATTTCAACTTTTGATGGAAAAGGGAGTGGCCTGACCTGCAGTCCTACAGAACAGCCTAAGCTGAGCGTGCATGTGGGACAGACACTATTTTGTAGGCTGCTTTATTTGTCCTCCAGCCTAGGTCTCTCCACGATCACATGAATTTCCTCATATAAGGGGCACAGACCAATAACTTCCAAGGCCACAGGAAGTTCCCTCCAGCTATTCTACAAACATTAAGCCGCGCCTTAACATTTTACTACCGTTTAAAAGTTTGCAGCAACGACGGGGAAAGAAAACCTCCAGAACCGATAGTGAGGCCTGACAGGTTTGCAATATAGAGGAGAATATTAATATTTCGGGG